GTTTTAGCTTACAAAACTCATCTGGTTCACTTCATTATCATGCTATTTCACTGGGCAGCTCATTTGCATGTAAAACATTGCTTATGTGATATCGCTCTATTAAAAGTTTATTTCTTGTAAAGCACACCAAAAGTGTGAATCGTTGAAAAAATGGCTGTGAAATATATAATTTTGAAATATATTTCATGAGCTTCGCACTGGGAGTGATTACTATACCCCGTTCACGCATACAGTCAATTCAAAAAACATTGTCGTCGACCATGCATCTCCGCCTACGCGACTGGACCGAAAGGAACTCTGGGTAGTAATCATTGAAGCCCAGTTGACTCCATAACTTTATCTGACTAGTTATGCCTGGTTTACAGCACGAACCTTCGTAGGCGAGCGGGAAGTGTTGAAGAAGACGTTTTTTTAATGCCTTCATATTTTCGAAATTGTGAACTGAATCATAACTACTTTGTTTTTCTTTCCCTAAACCCAAAGACATACATTTATTGGATTGTTTCTCGCCATTATTATCTTATTACTAGCGGGAACAATTAATTCAGAACGAATATTTAACGCTTCAGTGATTTTTACCCATATTCCTTTCGGTCCAGTCGTCCAGTCGCGTAGGCTTGAGCCGGTCGACGACAACGTTTTTTGAATTGGCTGTATCCGGATAAGCGTATCCATACGTAGCGTTTTCGAAACGTTTTCGCTCTTCCAAACGTATTCGTTTTCGAAAAGTTGCGTTCTCAAGACCAATCTGCAAAGTAAAAGTTCTGTTTTCCAAAAAAATCCGGATACTTGTGGACGGGAACTAAGACTACCGAGTCAGAGGCTCGGAATTTAAAAGCTGATTTTGTGGAAGGAGGAAAACTTAGCTTTTCTATCGCAGGCCTTTATATCGGCGTTATTGGTTAAATTTTAAAACATTTCAATATTTGTTTGAACGCCTGTCGAAAGTTAGTGCTTTGAAAAGCATACAAAAAAGGGTTGATACCAGCTTCTGTGAAAAACAAAATAGCAGCTATTTTGTAGTAGCTTCGGTAGGTTCGTTCATTAAAGAACTTCATAATCGCCAAAACTGCAAAAGGAAGAAGAAATACAACAAATACTAAAGTGACTGAGAGAGAAAGTTTGACTACATGACGCTTGCGTTGATTACGAAGTCTTTCTGCTGCTGAATGCTCTCCAAAATTAACGTTTTTCTTCCTGAAATATAAATTTCTAACGATATGAAAGTAGCATACCACCATCACAGCAAAGGAAATGAAGACGACGGAACTAACGATTGAGACTTGATAGGTAAGGTAACCCAAACGATTCCAGTACAAATATTGTCGACATATCTTTGATGTCTCTCTATAATAGCCGTTAATGAACATAGGTAGTGTAAAGAGAATCCCAGTCAGCCAAATTGCACAGAAAGCATACTTGATGGTGTTTTCTTTCAGTCTCATCCACCTTTTCATCGGCTTGACAACAGCGTGGTATCTCTCCACAGCAAGTATAGCCAGTGTTAGTATAGATACGATGCTTGCCATAGTAGGAACATGGTAGGATAAAAAAAACTTGCACAAAATGTCTGCCAGTGTACCGCTCGTCAAGGGGATATATTCAGCGAAAACTGCCATGGCACAGAAAATTAAGCAGGCTACATCTGAAATAGCTAGATTCGCGAGAAGGTAGTTTGTAGTCGATCGCAGAGATCGTTTCTTTGATACAGCAATTACTACAAACAAGTTGCCAATAATACCAAAGAGAAAAATCGGTACTACGAATACCCCAGCTATCATAGCTTTGTGGATATTCATTGTGATAATTCTCACCTCCAATGTGGGGAAAGTATTGCTCCTTACATCCAATATTTTCCCTCAACTACTTGATCCAAATGATCCAATCTAACACCAGAAAGAGAGACACATGAGACCGCTTTAAGATTTGATAGGTTGCTAAACAATTCAGTGATTGGTTAGAATATTTTAAAATTGTATGTTGCGTTGTGAACGTGCCATATATAAGGTTTGCTTGGTCTTAATAATTGGCTAATGTTGTCTGTCATATGGAAAACTGTACGAGAATATGCGAGCCATGTTATTTTGCTGGGATTCATCAATTCTGAGGTTTGTATGGCCGGAATTAAATCTTGCTTGAGCTTGACAAGGCTATTTAAGCTATATATGAGCATCATATAGTTTGGTTTATACTTATCCATTGAAGTGTTTCTCTTTTATCAACCGAAAGTGAAATTGAAGTGAAATTTTTATGAAACGGCTTTCACGGGCTTTTGCAGCCATTTACGAACATTGACAGGCTTATTCTTGTCAAAGTAAAAATATTATATATATATTTTATTTAAATGTAAACAGGAACAGTTAAGTTTCAATCTGTGCGCCCGCACAATAAAAGCTCAAAACAGCGAAATTACCTTCAAAATTTTATTAAGGAAACATACACGTTTTGAATTTCAACAGGGCAAAATCTCTATAGTGAGGACTTTTTCTTTGAATTTTCTTGAACAATAAGAACAGTTAAAGTTTGATAAAAAAACTTATTACTTCAGCTTATAGAAAAAGTGTTGGGTGTGTTTCTTGTTGTTGTCGTTTGAGAATGGTTTTTGGTACATTGAGCGAAGAAAAAGCGAACGCATACAGAACCCCTACAGACCCGTAGAATAGCGGGTTCAACTGACTAAAAACAGCGACACATCGCCGGGCTAGACTCACATGCACTGCCAATTATTTTTCACAGACTACTATAAGTAAACTGAAAAGGGAACAGAAGTAATTTGTGGGTTTTGAACTGCTCTTATGGGCTGTGCTTTTCAGTTGGAATTGTAAAGTGATGTGATGAAGGTCGAACGAAGAAGAATGTCCGAAATGTGATGTCTTATCTTCACTTGACTCTCCCGGCGCTGATTGACACATGTCATTTGCAGTATATTCGTGAAAATCATTCTCCATCAAGCATGAATTTCCCCTTTTAACCAATCTGCAAGCAAGAAAAAGGAAACAATCACATAACATCGCTGGAGCTTGGAAGCCACAAGGCAGTAAACTTACAATACAATCTAATAATAATTTTTTCACTAAATTTTCCGTTCACCCTATGCCTCATCTAGTTCTCTCATGATATCGGCCAAGGCAAATATGTAACAGCTTGTAACATTTTCCTCATGTTTCTTTTTCTGTTCGCCTTTAATACGACTGAAAACCATTATTTTACAGGGGCCGTATGCACGAGGGCTTAATAGTTCTATGCACCGGATAAATCCTTATCCATAAAAAAACTATAAAAATTATATACTCTGGGTATTCTTATCCGATGTGGATGATTTTATCTTGTCTTCGTGCAACCGGCTCCAGCTGTTTTTGTTGTCGTTTTTATATAGTTGTTTTTGAGATAAGGAAATAAGATGAGTATTAGAAATTATGATTGATGGATTCGATTAATTTTAGCATCATGGTGAATTGAAAGCATTTCAGTCCTCTTGTATCAACACACCCGACCTTCAGCCTACATCAAAAGAGGCGATCTTGGTTAAGGCTATGCTCTTATAAATCTGAAGGTTTAATTTTCAAACCAAAGAACTCTCATCAAAAACCTTTTGTATTTTACTTAAGACCGCGATTATTGGGATCATTTTCGACAAAGCATAGTTTTATTATTTCCCACAAACTAGAATATATTCAAAAGCTGCATCTTAAACTGATCAGGAGCCTTTTTCCACCTTAGTTCGTGACTGTGCCACAAGTGTGTTCTTAACCTGAGCGGGGCCTATAAGTAAAATATATCATTCAGTCGACACATGACTGTCAAATGCATTGAAATATAGATACTTCTTGATCATGAAGTGAATAAGAAGGAAACTTAAACACAGTGTAAACAGGATTTTAGCGATACCAACTTATGGCCTCGTGCCAAAATTTACGTCAAAATTATCTCACGAAAGTCTCAAGCCGGCTGATTTCTTGATCGATGAGAAAAGATCTTGTGCGCTGTGTTAAAAAAATACCGTACCGTAGCACTGTTTTTGTTCACATGCATATTAAATCTACTTTAATGTGGCTTAACATTCCCGATTCAAGAATTTATTTGGCAGTGACTATATTGGATACTATCAGTTTTAATTAAATTTGGTCAATTTGACGATTTCTGAAAAATTTCGCTCGAAAATACGCCTTCATTTTTTTGATGTTGCAGCTTTAATTACCATAAACGTACAGTAAAAATATCACGATAGCTCATCGAAGAAGATTTTTAAATATTCGCTGTTGAACACTGAAACGGCTTGCCGTCATATCAAAAAGGTCTTACCACAGGTAGCCCAACCAATAAAAATGCACGTGCGCAGATATGGTGCGCAATAATGCACGATTATTATTTTGTCTCTTGGCATCATTCACGTTCCAAGATCCTGCGCTATTGCCTGCCGGTGGTAG